TTTTAGGCGAGGAGGGAGCTACTCAACATCATGCCCCGTATTGCAGCACTACTACCCTGTGGGATGTCTGTAGGGTAGTGTGGAACACAATTTGGCAGTTCAATTGGTTAGGAGTTGTAACAGCTGACAAGATATCAATCGGTAGTTCATAAGGTATGAGCTATTGCATAGCAGACCAATAAGTATGAGTTGTAACAGCTGACAAGATATCAACTAGTAGTTCAATTGGATACGAGTTGTAACACAGTAGTTTAAATAGGTATGAGTTATAACAGCTGACAAGATGTCAACTAGTAGATCAAAGGTATAAGAGTTGAACGACAGTAGTTCAGTTGGCAGGAGTTGTAACAGCTCCCAGGGAAACAATTAGCACTTCAATATAGATGAGGTGTAACAGCACACAGCATATCAAGCTGCTGTTCAAATAGGTAGGAACCTTGATGTTTAGCAGGTCAATGACTATGGCCGAAGCCTGGTACTTGCGCTTTGTGCTGACCCCAGGATGGGGGAGCGACGGTTCCCTGGTCCAATGCTTCTTTGGATCCTCACTGAGGCAGGAGAGGGCTGCTTTGATCAGCGTCCTGCTTCCACAATAGTGGGACGCCGATCAAACAGTGGCCCGCGGCTTTATGGCGGCGGCCCGAGTGAGGGGGCGGAGTCTCGTGGAGCGCCTGCGCAATGATGCCGCCGGACCCCGTCCAAGAGTGGGCGGCGCCATACGGCGCGCCTGCGCACTAGCGCGAACGGCGCTCGGACCCGGCTGAGACGGAACACGAATGTTACACTGGTCTGCATGATACAGAGTAAAATGTTTATGAAGTGTACATAACACACTTGGATCCCTCCTTTAAGCCGAGCCTCTCGTTAAGCACTCAAGACAGTAAACTGAGCAAGAACAAACCTAATGCTAGTCAAAGGGGGATCTTACCAAGAATGAAGGGGCCTGTCTCCTCACACCACTACGACCCACCATAAATGATCTGCAGTCCATTAGGTGACCCTTCCAAGACCAATGAAATAAAGACTAGAATTCTTAATACTTTTAAGTGCACTCAATTTACAGGGAAACATATTTGTAAATAATAGGGATGCACAGATACCAAGTACAACACTAGAGAAAAATTCAAAAGTAAGGAGGCCGCTGTCATTTGTAAGGAGCACACGGAGCTCCCGGGATTTGTACATCTCTGTTTTAATGTACGATTTTGTTTTTATAAATATAAATAGAGGGATGCACAGATACCAGTTTTGCGAGTACGAGTACTGGTACTTGCCGAGTACTTACAAGTACGAGTACTGATACATTTTTGTTTATTGTCATGTGACAGTTTTTCTAAAACAATACAGACTAATGATTTCAGGACGGAGTGCCAGAGTGTGGCCGGAGTGGTGGAGTGCCAGAGCCAGGTCCCAGCTGCAACCCCGGGAGTTCTCATGAAAATGCCGAGTATCGGCAGTGGTACTCGAAAAGTATCTGTGCATCCCAAGTAAATAATATCCCATTTCAAATGACTATGGACTGCAAAAGTGCAACCTATGAATACGCGCTGTATGCAAGTAAAGGAGAAGCTTTCACCGCTCCATGCAGATTCAGGCTCCACGGCTCAGGTTTACCGCAGGTGCTGGCCGGGAGCCATCCACACTGCACAAATCACATCAATCCAGAAATAGCCGCACACAAATGATCTTCACCAAAGATTCAGCCATCAATACGATGTGATCTCCTCCTGATGATCGGCCACCTCTAACGCATTTAAGCAATTAAGCCCGCAACGTAAAACATGTAAAGAGGTAGGGGATCACATTGTTGTTGGCTAGATACTAATAATAAACATACGTTTGGCAAAGAAGGGCAGTGTGAGGCTATTTCCGGATTGATCTGAACATGCCCTGATAGCCTTCTCCTGTAAATAGTTTTTAATGTTGGTGCGTTCCCATTGGGGAGGATTTGCCCCACTTCCTGTCTTGGTGACATTGGTTAGCAAGGCAGGAAGTGAGATTAGGTGTCACATGATCTCAGTATATATACACCTGTGTGCAATCTAAGTGTCCCATGATCTCAGATTATTATGACCACCCCATCAGTACTTCGTTGGGCCGCCTGGTGACTCCACGAGATGATGAAAGGTGATGCGAGGAATCTGACACGGCACTGTTGCCCTTCTGTTGTCTTGTACCAGGCTTGCCCCTCCCCCATTCTACCCTAACATTGACTAGTCGCTGACGGCCGCAATTTGCACGTTCAGACCCAGATTTTCGGCTGACAGTCCGGTCTTTAAACACTTTAACAACAGCCGCTCTTGAACATTTAACGCATTCTGCTGTTTTTCTGATACCTGCTCCATGGTAAAGTTTCCTGTGTGCTGTTTTAGTACATTGTATACACAGAAAGATCTCATTATTGGATAGCTTAATGAACAGGAAAACCAAATATATTCTAAAAAAGAAAAGAGAATAAACAAGGTTAATACTACTAGCAGAGCGGTTTTATCAGAACATCTTGCTGACTAGCAAACAAAGGTGATTCTGGCAGAATTTTTTCCGCTGGGAATTAAAAGGTATCAATCTGCGTCATAGTAGCATTAATGTCACGACCTTATGTTGTGGAAAGGGACACTATGATGCAGGACTATCATCTCTGCAATTTTTAAGCTGTAATAAAACTTGCTCCCCATTTTGGTGCAATAATGTTAAATTAAAAAAAAAAAAAAAAAAAAAACCCTAAAGGAAAACCTGCGTTCTGTAATAAAACTTGCTCCCCATTTTGGTGCAATAATGTTAAATTAAAAAAAAAAAAAAAAAAAACAGCCTAAAGCGAACCTTGCTCATCTCCGGCCGCAGAAGATACACATAATGATTTTGTGTCAAAGTTTTCTGTCAAGCACGAGGTTAATTCAGGTAATTCCTCTATTTTGCTGCCATTTCGCTGAAGCAATTGACCCACTCGGTGGTATGATAGAAGCTGGACTCTCTCCAGTTCCAAGTAATGGAAACTTATGCTGCCTTGATCATTAACTTGCAAAGCTTTAAGTGCAACAATAGCTCTGTAATAACGCAGGATCATACATAGAAGCCATTACTGCTCCGGCTCTACACATGACTTTTTAAAATTGCTTCCTGCGCCGCTAATATGCGCGCCAAGGCTTGCTCAGGGCTTCGGCCTACATCTCGATTGAGATTACCTGCCATTGGTTGCTAAGTGACCGAGCTAATAGCCATGTTTTCAGCGTGCCCTGCGCCTACTTTTTTTTTTCCTTTTTATCCCTCGCGGAATAACTTAGTAAACAATTGTAAACAAAGGCCTAATGACAGTACGAAATAACATATAATAGATTTCCAACAGGCTGCACTGGGCCGACATTAATTCCTGTCTGATTAGAAAGCGGGCAATGTAGCTGAATCATATGCATATTTTATGTTCCCTGGACAAGCCTCTCCCAGCCTACGCTTTTCCCTTCCTCCCCTAGGAAATTGCATGCTGCCCCCCTGGGCAAAACACAGAAAGTAGCACTCTGGAATCAATAGCAATTATAAGTAACATTTCCATGCGGCTGTATGCCTCAGACGGGTTTGTGTTTTTGTTAGTTTTTTTTTTTTTTTAGGTTTTTTTCGATTTAGAAATCTTTTCATATATCCGAAATGCCATTCATGTAAAATTTAAAATGATTCAGAGGTGTTAACTCTAATAGGTGCGGCCAGGTTGATGATAGAAATTGGGTTTTACCAGGGTAGACCAAGGGTACATGACCCTCTTGGTGCTAGTTACATTGGCACATTCATCTATGAAAGTGTCTGCTATGATTTGTCTTCTTGGTCCACACAAACCAGAGATATGCAAAATGACACAGAGGGAGGAATGCATAATAGAGGGGGAACGCAAACAATTGCAAACTTCTTTAGGTAGCAGAAGAGGAATAAAAGTAATATGAATATACTACAATATGACCATGAAGCTTATTGCAAATTCCTTATGGCACTGGTAAGTGGCCAGGCTATGTGAAAGGTACCCAGAATCCCCAGCTTCAACCAGGATCATGGTAGGCTTCTAGACATGCAATTAAAGGAGATCTGTGAGGTGAGTGATCCTCATAGTTAGCGCCGATATGTGACAAAGAAGCTGTCACAGGTCAGCCCTATCGCTCGCGAAGTGAGCAGAAACATGCCGCTGATCTGCTCACTTTCCGATCATCTCCCTGCAGAGAGCGGTGACTGTCAGTCACCGCACCCCGCAGCGATTCCCCCCTCTCCTCTCCTCCAGCGCTGAGTGGAGGAGCGGACGGGGGAGGGGGCGGGCACAGCTGGATATGCAGAGCCAGCTGTCACTCATGCAGCTGGGTGGATCTCGACAGTAATGTCGGGATTTGTCCCAGCTGCGGCGCTCTCAGTATATTGCGGGTAACAGCCCGCTATATACTGAGCTTTGGGTCATGGGAGGAGGTTAGTAAATGTCCTCCCATGACCCTAAAGAGAACTATGAGGAAAAACACGTACCCCATAGTTCTCTTTTAACAGTGTATGTATTGTGAAAATGTTGTTTTGTTTTGTTTTTTAGTTTTGGATAAAGTAGGAAAAGGTCAGTACCCCTGATAAAGCGGACCTTTACCTCCCGTCACATCCTGCTCTTCAATAGCAGGGACTACACAGTAGTTGATTCTGTGTGGCATCTAACATAAAGAAAAAACATCTCCTATAGCACAACCTTCTGAAATAAATAAGAGGTACAAATTTTAGAGTTTTTCAGGATAAATATTTACAGACAGTGTGATGGCCAAATAACAGATACAGATGTTTATCCATTTCCCCCCATCAAATGTCCAGATGTGTGTTTGACAATGAAAGTGGACACTCGAGGACAGCAAACACCCCAAACACATCCATATCCTTTTACTTTTATAGTCTGGAACACATTATTATGATGCCTCGCATACGATGTCTTGGTACAGAGACCAATGAACGTTCTGATAGACCAGTCTGATAACTCACCTTTTTGTGCATTACAGATTGACAGAGGGGACTTCCAGCAAGACTCCGTCCTGAAGCAACTGGAGGTCCTGAAAGAGGAGGAGAAGGAGTTTCAGAAGGTAAGTTTACACAATGAATACATACATCATTTCTCAGTATGTTCTACTTGCCCAAATAAGTCCCCTATTACTCCAAGTTATGGTGTCTAGGAAGCTTCCAATGTCTCAGATTCCGAACAATGGCATTCGCGTCTACTGTTGGTTGAGCTTAAAGTGTATGTCAGCAAAATAAAGAGAAACATATGTAGTACAGTGGTGCCTCGGTTCACGAATGCTTCTGTTCGTGAACAATTCCGTTTGCGAACAGGAAGTTCGGTAAAGTTTTGCTTCCGATCGCGAACTCCACTTCAGGTGACTAACACAACCGCAGCCATCTGCCCTGCTCTGACACTGGTCGTGGCTTCCTCTAGTCGAGATCGCGGTCTGATCACAGTTTGATTCGGTTCACGACCAAATCGGTTCGCGACCAGAATCGTGGAACGAATTAGGTTCGTGAACCGAGGTACCACTGTACATCTCTGCAGTAAATGCACCTTTCCCATGTTTCACTCTTTTAAAAATATGATGCAAGTACCGAAAAAATGTCTGCTAGAAATCCAGCGTGCTCCTAACTTCCTGTAGTGAGCCGACAACTTTGCCTCTGCTGCACTAAAACCCCAAGCAGTGTCGTCATCCCTTCTTACTAGATCACAGAACTCCACCTCGCCCTTCTCGGTCCCTCTGTACATGTATCCATTGATTTCTACTCCAGTAAAACAATGCTGCTGCCGTGTTACCCAAGATTCTGTCCGCACGCCATGTGTAGGTAAAGGGCTTTTAGGAGATGTAGTTCTGGCACCTGACGTTCATCATGCAGCTCACATGACCCCTCCCTATATCCCGCAATACATTAAAGACTGTGAAGGAATCCGCATTGCATTGCAAGATGGGAGAAAGAACCTGCCTGAGCTCCAATTTGGAGCAAAGTTAAGATTTGCATAGTAGTCAGCCCATGACCCTGACACATAGATACAATGTATCACAATCTGAATATAATCATTAGAAAACTGTTACTCCTTCCCTTGTGTTCATACATGCCTTACTTGTTATCACTTTATTTCTTATATAATTCTGCAACAATGTGTCAAGTTGCACTGCACGGCTGTGAGCTGTGCAGTGCATGACTAGCAGTTACGGTCAGGTTTGGGTGACTGCAGGGGCCATCCCATTTAGTGCACTTAGGGGGTGTTTTATGTATCGCTCATCTGTGTCAGATTTAAAAACCTGGGCAGGGTTAGAAATAGGGATGCACCGATACCAAGTACCATACTCGGTACAAGTACAAATACAGATACTTTACGAGCTCCAAGACTAGACTAGAGAAAAATTCAAAAGTTAGGAGGCGGCTGTCATTTGTAAGGAGCACACGGAGCTCCCGAGATTTGTACATCTCCGTTTTATTGTATGATTTTCTTTTTATAAATATATACAGGTGAAACTCGAATAATTAGAATATCGTGCAAAGTTCATTTATTTCACTAATGCAACTTAATAGGTGAAACTAATATATGAGAGAGACTCATTACATGCAAAGCAAGATAATTCAAGCCGTGATTTGTCATCATTGTGAGGATTATGGCTTACAGCTCATGAAAACCCCAAGAACCCCAAATCCACAACCTCAAAAAAGTAGATTATTACATGCAATCAATAAAACAAGGATTGTACATAGAACAATATCGGACCTCTGAAAAGTACCAGCATGCATATGTTCTCAGTACATGGTTTGGGCCCCTTTTGCAGCACTTACTGCAATTACTTTTGCACGATATTCTAATTATTCGAGTTTCACCTGTATATTAGGAATGCACCAATGCCATTTTTGCAAGTACAACTACTGATACCTGCCCAAGTCCTCACAGATACAAGTACTGATACATTTTTGTTTAGTGTCACACTAATGATTTCAGGACAATGGTGGAGCGCCAGAGCCCGGTCCCAGCTGCAACTGCTGCAACCCCGGTAGTTCTCATGAAAATGCCAAGTATCGGCACTGGTATCTGAATTGGTATCGGTGCATCCCTAGTTAAAAAAATGTTGAAAGGTGAATAACAAAAAGCGGGCTAGAATAGTAATGAAATAAGCGAGAAAATAAAGACTACTCAGCAAGTAGAAAATGGTGAACTCTGACTTTAATCAGGGAATCACAAAGTGCAGTAATGAGATGCCGAGCGTAGTAACCTATAACAACCACAATTCAACTTTCACAGACCAGGCACACTGATCTCTGATTGGCTGTCCCAAGTGCCAAATGTTTGCATATCATCGCTGCTCTCGGCGCCCTCTTACCAAATAGGCCCATAAGTAATTGTTAGTGGTTCTACTTAACCTCAGGGTTACTAGTTCCCCTGAAACATAAACGCCTGCTGCAGCCACAAATGTTAATTGGAATGGAAGCCGTAACCCCACGGAACACATGTGGCTTATTTTTATATTAACAACCTAATACTGTACCTCAAGGATATTTCCCCGGGGTCAGAGATTAGACTGCAGCCGGAGGCTGTAATTCTACAAGATAGTTAACACGAGGTTCAGGCGTGATAACCCATCTGAGGCCGACTGCAACAAGTCCATCCGCAGAGAACGAAGATATCAAAGTGTTTTTTGTATTGCTCATTTAAACTCCGTTGTCACCTCCTTGTCACCTTTCCGGCAAACGTGATCATATAAAGCAGGTCAGGAAAACAGTTGGAATAGCCAATAAAATTTACTACCCATCTTGTTTCCGTGCGTGAAAAAATATGACCGTGCCATCAACATCACCAACTCAGCTGTGTAAAGTACACGACGTGTAAAAACAACAACAGCATTATGATTTGGTGGGTTAAGCATTTGCTGAGTTATTATTTATGTATGTGTTACGGGTATTTAAATAGTACCAACAATTTAAAGAGACATTAAATTCCCCCCCCCCCCCCCCATCCGCCTTTACCCCCTTGGGCCCCCGGGCCCT